CAGGGTTTCTCTGTGTAGCCCTGGCTGTCCTGGAACTCACTCTGTAGACCAGGCTGGCCTCGAACTCTCGAACTCAGAAATCCGCCTGCCTCTGCCTCCCAAGTGCTGGGATTAAATGCATGCACCACCACCGCCCGGCTCTTGAGTTCTTTATACAGTTTTCATATCAACCCTCTATGAGATGTACAGTTTGTAGAATCTTTCCCCATTCTTTAGGCGTGACTTTGAATAACAGTGTCCTTTTCAGTTTCCTAAAGTCCCATTTATTTACAGTTGATCCCCGTGCTCGCGTTAACAGTGTCCTGTTCAGAGAGTCTTTCCCTGTGCTGAGTTAAGGGCGTTCGTTCCTCACCGTCTCTTCTGTCAGGTTCAGTGATTCTGGCTTTCTGTTGAGGTCTTTGATCCATCTGGAGTTGTTTGTGCAGGGTAATTAGCATGGATCTGTTTGGATTCTTTTACACGCAGCTATCCAGTTCGATCAGCACCATTTATTGAAGATACTGTCTTCTTTTTCACTCTGTGTTTCTGGCTTCTTTGCTGAAAAATCAGGTGTCCGTAGGTGCATGAGTTTATATCTGGGTGACCAATTCAATTTTCTTGATCAACATGTCTGTTTTTGTGCCAATACCACACTGCTTTTATTATTGTAGATTTGTTGTATAACTTGAGATTCGGGATTCACTTCCATGTCTCTTCCTGCTCTGCTCTGGACCACCAGCTCTGGGTGCTCATTCATTTTTTTCTGCTGACTTCTTTTTTCAGGGTTTTCCCTTCCATCTAAACAATTTCTTTACGTTCACCTCTGATGTTTTGTTGTATCCTTTTAGGGACTGATGACGTTCAGAGATGTGGCCGTGGACTTCTCTCTGGAGGAGTGGGAGTGTCTGAGCCCGGAACAGAGGAATTTGTACAGAGACGTGATGCTGGAGAACTACCGCCACCTCGTCTCCGTGGGTGAGACTCAGAGCTCAGCCCTAGATGTTGTTGCGGCAGCAACAACGGGGTCTTTTTCACAGTCGTAGAGGGGTTCCTCCGAAGTTGGGTTGTCCTTTACAGAATTAGCAATAGTCACTCCCAGTGGGAATCCTCCATCTCCCTCTCCCCTCAGAAATACTTTTTGACTTTCTCTTGTCGTTCTTACTATTGTCTCTCTCATAATAACCAAGGAACCAGATGACAAACGTACAACTCTTACCCGTGTGCTCATTCCCTTTTTAAAACAAACGCAGGACTGTGTGTTTATCGGCCACATGTGTTCTCCTTGTTGGAAAAAGGACAAGACCCCTGGATGATTCCTTGGGATGAGACAAGAGGACTTTATCCAGGTGAGTGGAGCTGAGGGGGAACAAGGCAGGCATCAGTAAGGGTGATGGCTGTCTTAGTTAGGGTACTGGTTACTGTGACGAGACACCATGACCAAAAAAGCAAGCTGGGGAGGAAAGGGTTTATCGGGCTGACACTTCCGCATCATAGTCCGTCACTGGAGGAAGTCAGGACAGGAACTCAAGCAGGACAGGAACCTGGAGGCAGGAGCGGATGCAGAGGCCATGGAGGGGTGCTGCTTACTGACTTGTTCATCATGCCTCATCCAACCTGCATTCTTATAGACCCCGGGGCTACCAGCCCAGGGATGGCCCGTGGGCCCTCCCCCATCAATCACTAAGGAAGAAAGCTCTCTACAGCCTGATCTTATGGAGACATTTTCTCACTTGAGGCTCTCTCTCCTCTCAGATAACTCTAGCTTGTGTCAAGTTGACATAAAATGAGCCAGCATAATATATATATGCTTCTGGGGTTGTGGGTTTTGGGTTTTTTTTTTTTCCTCAAAAAGGGAAAAGATATGTGTAAAGGCTGGCACAAGCATACTAGACTTACATACTTACATAGAAAAAATATAAGAAAAAAAAATCAAGAAAAAAAAAAAGGTAAGCTGGGCGGTGGTGGCACACGCCTTTAATCCCAGCACTTGGGAGGCAGAGGCAGGCAGATTTCTGAGTTTGAGGCCAGCCTGGTCTATAGAGTGAGTTCCAGGACAGCCAGGGCTACACGGAGAAACCCTGTCTCAAAAAAACAAAAAAGAAACAAACAAACAAAAAAAGGTAATGTGAGGAAAACTTAGCATGGCCGTGCATAGTGGAGGAATCGAGAGAGTGGAGTCACAGGGAAGGGCGGCCATGTTTGCGTTTGTTTCTGACTAAGCTCATCCAGCTGTGCTGGCTTTCCTCAGTTTGTACAGAAAGTCATGTGTCGTCATGTATGTAGTCATTCCCGTGCAGATGGACAGGATTAGACAGCGTAGCATGTTACTCTGCTATTACATGATTAGGTCTCTCTCTCCGTTCATGCTTGCTGGTCCCTGGTGTGTGCGATGTCCTTGGTTTCATGTCAAACAGTCCCTTCTTCTGTTGTCCTGCATCCGTTCCCGATCTCTTGTTGTATTATTAGTTTGCTGACTTGAATAGGTCACACTGAGTGAAACAACTGTTGTGGTAATTATTTAAAATCGGCCACTTGTTAATCCGACTATCTAAGCTACAGCGGCTCTGCCTAGCTCAGCCGCCATGTTTCTCAGCCTGAGGCCACATGCGTGCTCCAGCTAGAACCGGCCGCCAGAAACACCAGCCCTGCCACCCACTAGATGCCAGCGTGAGAGATGGCTCTGCCAATCTTCCACGCTGTCTCCACAAGGCAGGGCATTGCCCAGACCATTCTGCCATCCATGCGGGCCCAGTAAGAGAATGAGACTAATTCTTATAGATTAATCAAAGGCTTTATATGTTTGATAATGATTAATAACAAGATGCTCATACAAAGAGAGTTGTATCCCAGTTAGCTAACCTAATTACAAGTTTATAAGTTGTTCCCCACGACTGCTCTCTATACCTGTGTGGTTCTCCATCCTCCTACATCTCTGCCCTCTCTAGCTCCTCCTCTTCCTTTTTTCTCTTCCTCTCCCAACTCCTCCTCTTCCTCTCCTTACTCCTCCTTTTCCTCTGCTAACTCCTCCTCTTCCTCTCCTTACTCCTCCTCTTCCTCTGCTAACTCCTCCTCTTCCTCTCCTTACTTCTCCCACCTTAGCTCCTCCTACAAACAACCTAATGTCTGTTTTTCTCTTCTTCATCAACTACCTTGGCAATCATTTTTTGATTCCTTAGATGAGTGTGGTCAAAGGAGAACTTTATGCCTTTCTTTCCCAATTCAGTTTTATTGGCTCTTTTTGTATTTACTTCTTGCTCTCTTTTCATATTCATAATTTTGCCAGGTTTAAAGCCGTTCATCTCTTTTGTGTTATACTCTAGTATTTATTTATATTGGATGCTTTGTCTGGTTTTGGATAAAACACTATGAATTTATCTTTCAGACATAGATTTCAGTTCTCAGAAGAAGAGGTTATCGGGAAAACCTACCACATATGAAGAATTATCTCAGTGGGAAATGAAGGAATATTTTAGAAAACACAGTCTTGAAGATTTCTGTCTTGGAGATGACTGGGAAGGCAAAAATCAGTTTCAAACGCATCAAAATCAGGACTATTTTAAGCAACCAGCAGTCGCAAATGAAAGAATGCTCACAGTGAACCAGGGTATAGTTAACGCAGAAGAGAAAGCAATTGAAAGTCAATGTGAAAAAGCCCCTAGTGCGGGATCTGACCATACTCTTCATCCGCCAGCTCACCCTGGTAACAAATCCCGCAAAGACAAGGAGTACGGGGAAACCCTTGTTCCTGAGCGGGGGCATCCTCACTGTCAGCAAGCTCGCTGTCCTGAGACACCTCAGCAAGGGAAGGGATCCAGAGGGCCGTTTGGTTTGCCTTCAGGGATACCAGGCCCTCAGCGAGTTCACACTGATGAGAAGTCCTATGACTGTAAGGAGTGCGGGAAGTCTTTTACTTTGAAGTCAAACTTGACGCGACATCGCAGAATTCACACCGGTGAGAGGCCATACACATGTCACGGATGTGGGAAAGCGTTTACACAGAGATCACACCTCATGTCGCATCAGAAAATCCACACTGGAAAAAAAGCTTACGTGTGCGGAGTCTGTGGTAAAGCTTTTCACTGTGACTCAAGCCTGACAGATCATCAGAGTATCCACTATCATGCGGTTGACACTGGCAAGAAAGCATACGAGTGTAAAAAATGTGGCAAGGATTTTGGTTGCTATTCAGGTCTCAGTCATCACCAGAAAATCCACGCTGGAGAGAAACCTTTCAAGTGTAAGCACTGCGGAAGGCTTTTTAGGTTTCGCTCACATCTTAGGGCGCACACGCGAATTCACACTGGTGTGAAGTCCTATGACTGTAAGGAGTGTGGGAAATCCTTTACTCTGAGGTCAAACTTGATGCGACACCACAGAGTTCACACCGGCGAGAGGCCATACGTGTGTCACGGGTGTGGAAAAGCGTTTACACAGAGATCACATCTCACGTCGCATCAGAAAATTCACACTGGAGAGAAAGCTTACGTGTGCGGAGTCTGTGGAAAGGCTTTTAGTCGCGGCTCAAGCCTGACCAGTCATCAGAATATTCATTATTACGTGGTTAACGCAGGCAAGAAAGTATACGAGTGTAAAGAATGTGGCAAGGGTTTTGGTTGCCATTCAAATCTCAGTCGCCATCAGAAAATCCACGCTGGAGAGAAACCTTTTAAATGTAGGGACTGTGGGAAGGCCTTTGGTCAAAGAGCACATCTTACGAAACATCAGAGGGTTCACACTGGCGAAGGCCCTTATGAATGTCAGAATGTGGTAAAGTGTTTCCTTGAGGACCACAACTATGTGGACATCAGAAAATCCATATTGGTGTGAGGTGATGGAATGTATGTGGAACATAGAAAAGCCCTCATTTGCGGTTTGTGTTGTACCCACACTAGAACATTCACGTGAGTGGGAAGCCCCGGTCCGAGGGCTGTGGGAAAGCTTACATCTGGAGCGCGGGCTTTACTCTGCACCAGAACATTCATACTCGGGAAACAAAATAATCCCAGGAATATGGGAAGACTGTTCAGGCACGGTTCAAAGCTTAAGTCACCGCCAGCAAATGCGTGCTGTGGGAGAGGGTTAGCCACCAGGCATCTCTACCACCGACCTCAGGGACGCCGCGACAGCAGGATACGTCATCGCCCGCTGCCGAGATGCAGCACGTTCCCACCGTGGCCATGGCCCCACATCCTCCCCGTGTACACGCAACCTCTTAGAAAAGCCAGTGCTTCCTTGTAGAGAGACTCCCATGGCCTATTAGCTAAAATAGAAGGAAATTAGCAAGAAATAGAAAGTGGGACATCTGGCAGAGTATGGAGTTAGACTGAGGCAGGAGACTCCCCCAACTCTGGAGGAGACAGAAGCATGAAACTGAGGGCAGGTAACTAAACCCGAGGAGGACAGAATAGTTTAACAGTTAAGTGACAAGCTTGTCAAGGAGCACGCCCATTTATTCATAAAAAATTAAGTCTTGGAGTCATTATTCTACAAACAAAGAGGCCAGGTAGAAAAGCTGGAGACTGCACCTCCTCCTCATTCTCTTTTTCCCTCCGCCCTTGCCCAGAGGCAGCCTCTGTACACTCCCTCCCCAATGAACCTCCCAGGTGAGACCTGTCACATGGTGTGACTTTGTGGTGACCGTTGCTTAAATCATGACAAGGAACCTATTTTAGGCTTCCTGCTTGCACTTCAAGATGTGAGCCCTCAGCTCTCGGCTGCTCCAGACACTGCCCGTCTGCTTGGTCTTAACCCTCTGGAACCGGAAGCCCCACATACACTGTTCCTCTTACACATTTCCTTGGACATGGTGTTTTATCACAGCCCTGGAAAGGTAGCTAATGCAGGACTCAGTACCAGGGAGTGGGCCATGACTGACAGACCAGCTATGCTAGTTTTTTGAGGAATGTGGAAGATTTTGGAACTCTGGACTAGAAGACAGCTGAATGCTCTCCTCAAGTGCTTAATGGGTCCTCCCAGTAGGAGCTGGGTGATAGTTTCTTTGTTGTTGTTTTGTTTTGTGTGAGCCGATTCAAGCCAGATTAGATTGTATTAAATGCAGGTTTATTGGAAAGCTGCTTGGGTAAGTTCCCTGGCTCCAAGGACCAAGACCAAGGATGTCACCATGGGGAGAGAAAAGGGGTAGAGAGAGAGAAAGGGTGTGAGCACAGAGAGAAGAGAAAGGAGAAAGAGAGTGGGAGAGATCAAAATGTCTGTATTATATAGGGAGGGACCTCTGGGGAAAGGGCAGCCCAGCCCCTGGGCAGGAAATTTCAGGGATGGGGGCAGGGAATGCCAGGTGGGGACTGAGGGATGCTGGGAGAAGCTGGAGGCCAGGTCTGCTTTGATGTGTAAAACGTGAACCTCAGTCCCTTGTCCAATGGTCCAAAACCAAACATCCCAACCTTTTGTTGATTGTAAGTGAATAAAAGGTGACATAGAAATTATCTAAGTCTACTTCCTGCTGACTTTGGGGCACAGTCTGAGGGTGTGGGCAAAAAGGTGGAATGTTGGCCCAGTCCAGGAAGGCTGGTTGTTTCGATGCTGTCCAAGTTGTGGGGCCATCTTGGAGTAGGAGTGTGTAACCCCAGTTGAAGCAGTCTGTAAGGCTGGGCCAGAGCACCTGTGGGTAACTGGAGCTTTCCTGGATGCAGGTTCTGAGGGAACACCTGGATGTTAGGGGCAGAAGATAAAGTTAAGGAGTTTAGGAAGAAAGCCTTTTTCTTAGGTGTACATCTGAAACTCTTAGGGCCATGGTCTTGGGAGTTGGAAGAGGGTTGGGGTGGATCCCAGGTCCAGGGAAAGAGAAATAGATCCCAACCTCAGCAATAGGCAGGTATGTGGGGGGGTTGGGGGGGGAGGACATGCTATTAATTGATAGTACTTTTCTTGAGTCCAGTGACCTGTGAGAGGTGGCTTCCCTGAAGCTTATAAGAATCTTTTAAAGTTTACAGAGAGATAAATCACTTTCCTGTAACTTTTTTCCAACCCTTATTTATTTATTTATTTATTTATTTATTTATTTATTTTGTTTTTTGAGACAGGGTCTCTCTGTGTAGCCCAGGCTGTCCTGGAACTCACTCAAACTCAGAAATCCGCCTGCCTCTGCCTCCCAAGTGCTGGGATTAAAGGCGTGCGCCGCCACTGCCCGGCTCAACCCTTATTTTTAACGGTGGTTCTTAAATGCTTTAACTTCCCTTTTAGCCCTCCATCTACCAGAGGTCGTGGGAAAGAAAGGATATGGGCGGAAGTGGACCTGTTTAGAAATGATTCTTTAGAGCAGCTCCTGTCTGCGTTGTCAGGAAATGAGCAGTTCAGTTCACAGGTCAGCGGCAGCAGCTCGATCCACTGCAAACATTTCATGGATACACCAGCCACTTTGGTAGCAATACTGGTGACACGACCTAACAGAGACAGCCAGGCCTCAACCTTGGGATGAATCAGCAGGAGGGGCCAACAGGAACACTAGGAGAACTTCTTGGCTGTGCCTTTCTCAGTGAAGCAAAAATCAGTGAAGACTGTAGACCTGCAAGCACTGCACACTAGCTGTACCACCAAGCCAAGCACTGTCACTCTGTGGACATTAAAGACTTTAGAAGCTATTTCCACCAACTCCTGTATGGGGATTTGAGGACCATCCAGCTACAGTATATTTGAATAGACAAATTGAGCTTGATTCCAGTTACCCATCTTAGGCTTTACCTTAAAGCATGTACTTTGATTATTAAATATACCTTATTTTTATTTTGGCATGAATGCATGGAGTTGCGGTGAGAGTATGAATCTCCCCATAACAAAGATGGCTGCAATCCACGTGACTGCCTTGTCCAAGATGGAAGTGAAGCCATAACTCCACCCTCTTTCTCCCAAAGTCATGACGGTGACAGTCACGTGCTGTTTACTCATCCTGTATACTTTCCTGATGCCAGTGTGGCATCATTAAAACAAACAGGCCAGTCTTCCGGTAACACTAACGCAATCGGTGCCACAGTCAGCGCTGCACCTGGATTGGCCCAAACTCAAATCCTCTTGACTGACCCCTTCTCCCAGTTCTGGGATAGGCACCACCACATTGACCAAGAATTCCATTTTTGAAAAGGAAAGAATTCATATAGAGTACGGTGGTTTGAAAGAGATTGGTCCTCATAGGCTCATAAATCAGGGAAGATGAGGCGTGGCCTTGCTAGAGGAGGCGTGTCACTAGGGGTGGGCTTTGAGGTTTAAAAACCCCACACCAGGCCCAGTCTAGACTGTCTTCTCCCAGTGTCTGTCTGTCTCTGTCCCTGCTGCCTATGGATCAGGATGTGGCTCTCAGCTTCTGCTCCCACACCTTGCCTGGTTTTGTGCCATAACGTTCCTCAACATAACGGTAATTGTAATTAAGCCCCCAGTTAAATGCTTGGTTTGATAAGAGTTGCCATGGTCACAGTGTCTCTTCACAGCAATAGGAAACGAAAACTCCCAGAACCCCTGTCCCCATTCCCCTCCCCACCACAGCACCGGAAACAGGTAGACAGACAACTAACTAGCTTCTCACATGGATTCCAGTGATTTGAACCTCATGCTTGTGCAACTAGCAGTGTTACCCCGCTGAGCCGTCTCCCCAGCCCGTCCGTGATATATACCAAAAGACTTCACAACACTGGAAGTGAGTGCTTGAAGAAATCTTGTCTCAGGCATCCTTACGTTTACAGAGTACCTCAAAAATGTAAACATTCCAGGAGGTGACGATACAGCTTGGAAGGAGAGGGCGCAGTTAGTGGGTAGAACACGCTAGATTACACACGTACTCGGTACCACTCACCCAGGCAAGTGTAAACGCTTGAGTGAAACTCGAGGAATGATTAGTAGCATTCTCGTACCTTAATGAAAATATGAATGGCATCGAAAGAGATGACCAGTTTCTCTGACATTCGTCAAGCATGAGATTGATCACTAGGGGCTGTTCTGTGCTACCTAAGCTGTGCATTTCAGATGAAGGACTTCCCGTCCTTTGGTAATTTCCTCACTCTTGAGCATCCTCTAACGTCAAGGAAACTCTGAGCTATAGAAACATTTTCTCACAATCTTCACATTCATAGGGACTCTGCCTACTGTGCGTTTTCCAATGCTACATTCTGAATCGCGGTAACAGGTCTTTCTGCAATCCTTGCCCTGACTTTCCTTTACCAATCAACCTCTGATCCATGAAGGAAGGTCTTCCCACACTCTTTACATTTACGGGGTTTCCTTTAATGGCTTTTCTCATGTTGAGCAAGTCGGAAAGTCCAAATGAAAGGTCTGAAGTGGAAACATCTGGTTTCTTTGGAAAGTCAGCTATGGTTAAATGCTGTTTTGCTGGGGTGTGGGACTGCATAAGGGTATCCTGGGTCATGGTTGAGCAGGTACTTAGAACCCCGAGATTCTCCGTGGAATTCTGCGTGAGAACTGGCAGGAGTTCGGTCCCTCCCATCATCTAGGATCCTGAAAAGCAGTCATATAGATCTCCATAGAGTCACATAGGCCAGGCTATAGGCCTCAGGCCCTAGAGATTTACATACTAATGAAGGCCAGAGATCAGAGCAAATTAAACATTCCTCCCCCAGATCCTCCCCCAATCCTCCCCCTTTCTCCCTCCCTATATAACTTGGGACTGCCCTGAGTTTTTGGGGGGTACGCCTAGATCCATCTATTATCCGCCATGACAATAAACCTTTTTGGAACCAAGGACTTCCTCGTGTTACTGGGGCCTGCCGCCGCCAAGGCCTCAGGGCCACTGGAACCATAAGATCCTCTTCCATGATGTGGGACCCGCCACAGCGGCAGACTTTTTAAAAATTTTCCCCACACTGGGGCA